TTTCACAAAAAAAAGGCTCCCAACCCCCCCCCCCCCCCCCCCCCCTCCTACTTCATTCTACATGTCATGTCATTACCTACGTTGATAAAAAAAAAAAATGCCATCATATTACTATATAAGCTGTTTCTGCATGTTTTTAGTTAGATGTTCCTTAAGAACATATTTTTCTTGGCAGAGTGGGATTTGGGGGGTTTCCCTGCAGTGGTTACTTCCATAGAAACCAGCTCTTACATTTAAGATCATCAGACCCTGCTTTCCTTGACTTGGTATGTTTTCCATTGGTGTGTGTCGCATATATAATTGGATTAAGGTAAATTGCTACTTTAGAAATAGTGACCAATCGCAAAACCATGTTGTACAAGGACGCTAGGAAAAGGAAAAGTTAAGAACTCGTATCCCGAAAAATCTCCAATAGTATATACGAGATGTACATGGTCCCTCCCTAAAATATCTTATCGAGACAGAATACAATGATAAGGGAAATCATTGGTCGTGACTGAAAAATACAAGAGATGTTGATACCGTTTTCCTTTCACAACGGATAGATTCAAGCAATCCTTTCTTCTCAAATTATCTACATAATCTCTCTTCTCTCTCTCTCTCTCTCTCTTCTCTTATTTGCATATGAACGCATCATGAGGCATAAACGGCACATCCCGAGCATTTTTATTTACCACTACCCTGACATCGTCTATGCCAAAAACAAAAGGGTCCTTCACTGACCTGGCATAGCACTCATGCTATACCCAGCACTGAGAACAAGATGCCCCAATTCTTTGATATGTTTCATAAGTTTAGGAACATCCTCTAGGGTTTGAAGGTTGTATAGAGGATTTTTTTTAGTTCGCTATGCATGAGTGTCACCATCTAAATGATCGGAGTAAATAGTGTGATTCCTTTTTAAGAAAGACAGCCATTTGTTTGGTGGTGGGAGATCTCAGGTTATCAACATTGGGAATTTCTGGTTTGGAGCGTGAGAGCAGCCACTTCGTGCACAGGTGTACAATTTTAGTCTGTGTCTAGTATTCATCCTAGATGACGCCGTATAAGCAATTTTGGCTCACCAACATAGGTAATGGTCTTCTAATCTTTTCTAAAAGCATGCGAATAGCAAATTTTCTATGAGATGTAGGGGGGATAAATTAATATAGCCAAAAAATTCTAATTGAATTGAGAGACAGTTCCAGGTAAAAACTTTTTGTTAGATCACCACTCTCCCTTTAATTTTTGTTTACAGAAAGTTATATGTATCAAATGAAAAGGGGATAAAAATTTGAATTGCTTTGGTTTTTCCTTGTAGTGATTTGTTCATCTAAGTTATCCTACTTCAAATGTTGGATTTTGCTTTTTCTAATAGTACCACTTGTAGCTCGACTGCAGTATTCTGTGATGGTTGTGTAATAAACTTGCAAGTTGCCTCATCCTATTTTACTTTGATATCAAAGCTGAGCATTATCTTGTCTTTGACACTTCCCAAAAGAAAAACGTCTTCTCTTGACATTTACAGTCATGTTTGGTTGTTCATGGATATGTGCGGATATAATTAACAATGGCATTGGGACGGCACCTCTTTTGTTGCGAAAAAAAGGGGTGGAATAAGGCTAGCACAAAATCTAAACAACAATAAATAACATGGGCCGTGTTTTATTCCATTCTTATCCTGTTTCCAACCAAACATTAGAGAAACTGGATTGAAGTAGAAAATGTCCTGCGACTGGATTCCCAAAACAAATTGTGCCTGGACATCCAATCCTCAACCAATCTTATAATGGCGAAAACAAAACTTGGCCATATTACTTTGCAACCTTTTTTTCCTTTTGTTTATTATATTAATGTAATATTGGACTTGACATATAATGAAACTGTTACAGGGTTGACAAGTGGTGGGAATACTGCTTCCACTGAATGTGGCCCCTCTTCTTTATAGACAACTGGAGGTCCCATTATAATCGGTCCCAAGGTTGGGTTGGTTTTTTGATCTTTTCTTCTTTTGCTTTTTTGGCATTATTTTTTATAATAAACATTTTTTATTTTTTTTCCAATTGACGGGGGGGGAGGTTATTAGTATAAACCGAACATTTTTTCGCCTAACTTCAAAATATTACGCTTTCACCTAGGTAGATTGTTGTATCTCCAAGAATCAGTTGAATATATTGGGAACCTTCACAGTACCCATGATATTAATTGGAGGAGTGGTCTGCTGTTGCTGGAGGTCTCAAATAAAGTACGAGGGTTATGCCTTGCGAAAGTGATTAAGAGTTTGCTTCATTAGGATCACGCGGGACTCATGAGAACCAATTGACCACTGCTAGTTTTTGGTATCTAATAAGCTTTTACAACGTCTTTTGTGGGCTTAGCTGGAAGCCGCAGCGACAGAATTTAACAGGTTGCGTTTTAGTATCATTTTTGGCTTCTTGTTAAAGAACAAAAATTTTCTGAGAACCGGGTCAATGGAAAGATTTTGAAACAAAGTACCTTGAGCTGTATAAAACACTGCATTTGCTAACATACATGAGTGGTGGAACCCATCAGGCTTAATACTATGGTGACACATGAGATGTTAAACAATTTATTAACCATCCACCCTGCACCCACCCCCGAGTATTGGTTTCATCATTTTTGATCAAATATGCTTCCTATTTGGGTTAGACCTAAATTCATTTTAGTCATAAAGAAATGGAAGACTAATTTTCATCGATGAACAACAATGGTACAGTGAAAAAAACAAAAAACAAAACATAAACAAATAATAGCTGATTCTTCCTTTTGGCTGCAGAAACCCAATAAAAAAGGTATATCATTATGTATGGAAGAGTAGGAAATTGAGTTTATATGTGATTATGGTCTTGCGCTTTCTGTAGATGCTTCCTTCTCGAAACGAAGGATTTGATGGTTCCTTTATTCCTTTAGAAAGAAATAAACTGTTATTAAGAGAGGTAGGATTAAGGGGCCTTAATGTTCTTCAGGTATCTTTTTGGTTCGCCAAATATAAAATTTGCGAAATTAAATAGTTATCTTCAAATTTTCTGACAACTCCAAACGGTTAAGTAATAATAATGATTCCAGAAAAAAAGGTTAATCATTTTTATTTTATCATTGATTACTTGCTTTGTTCTGCCCACTAAGCCTTCGGTGTTTCAACTTGGTGATATGTGTAAAATTATTATGACAGATTGGAAAATGAATATTGGTCCATTTGGAGATTGAACACAAGTTTACCTTCATCATCTTGGTCACAGTAGCACGGGGGCAATCTGAGGGGATGACACAATTTTGTAAGTAGTTTAGTCTTCAGACCTATGTCATGATTATGTGGTTATTAAAAGGAGTCACTATAATATATGTGGTGGAACCTTTTTATTTGCAGATAGTGTGTCATGTCCACCCTTTCGAACATCTATAATTGCTGGAACATTCCTCATTTCATTCTTTAAATTGTATTTTTTAGCAAGTGTACTGAGTTTCTTTAAACATGCATTAGCAAATCATTCCTTTTGAGTTGATTAAACTACTAAATAGTATTGAAGTCAACTTGTACACAGAAACGACCTCGATGGTGGGGGTGAGGGCTCCTGAAAATTCTCCACCTGTATGTATAGCTTTGAATTAAGCCCAAAAAAGTTTAAAAAGTTGAATTCTTTAAATTCTTACAATGAACCCATGAAATGCTTATAGAACCACACCACCCTTAACTTTTGTTCCCTGCTTGTTTATACAGTTCGCAAATTTTTATGTGACCCATTTTATGGTGGGATTTGGGGAGATCGTCTTAAGGACATCGTGAAGTGTTTTATCTGCGATGTGTGCAAGTGATCAACATCTTTTTACTTGTTTTTTCTTCTCTCTCTCTCTCTCTCTTCTTCTTCTTCTTCTGCAATTGTCTTTTATATTTTATTATTATATAGTTTTATTATGTATTATTATTTCCTTATTTTTTTTCTTTCCACGGAGATCCAAAAAATACTTTCATCATTGGTTGCAAGTGTGTTGTACGACTAACAGGGATAGATCATTCTCCATCTTCAATTTTCCTTTGGTTCTGTTAGGCAATGTTCCGCGAAATATGTAGTTGATACTAGGGATTTGTGTCAGATGTACAGCTTCCAATGTCCGTTATGTTGTGTATGCAATCTCTATGTGCTGTGTTATGCTCGTTAGACAGGGATTATGAGCTTTGTCACTATTATATTTTCTTGTGGCCAATTTTTGAGGCAATGTTATTACTTTCATTTCCTTCATTCAACAATCATGATCTGTAGTGATTGTCCCTTATCTTTTTCTTTTGTTCCATTTTGACTGTATGCACAAACATCAGACCTACTACTGAAGTTGTGTACACGCAGTGATTTATGCAGATTATGCCTTTTTTTAAAATTTTTGTGGTCCACTGATCTATCATGCAAGGTATTTTACTTTGCCGCAGATTGATCAAAGCTGGACCTGTTGAATATATTACTGTTTCTCTTTTGGTCGTCACAAACATCGTTCTTGACTAAGATAGCTCTCACATGGATTTTCCGGTTATAAAGCCACAGATGGAGTGTTCAAGGGAAAACTCTAGAGGAAAGGAACCATTCCATCTCGGTAAGCATGCATGTGTGTTTCAGGCTAAAGGTTTTTTTGCGGCTATGCATGCTGAACATGGATATCAATTTTCAATGCTTTTTTGAAACTACATAGAGTTATTGACTTACTTGTTGAATGTAGCTGTGACTTCAACGACTGATGAACAATATTAATCACGGTGCATGAGCATGGCCTATTTTTAAGTTGCAAAAGGGCTTCACATGGCCCCGGTGGGCCAAATCACCTAATCCTCGTGCTTCTGATCGT